TAGGGATTTTTCCATGTAAACCAGTATAATGCAACTTAATAGGGATTTTTCCATGTAAACCAGTATAATGCAACTTAATAGGGATTTTTCCATGTAAACCAGTATAATGCAACTTAATAGGGATTTTTCCATGTAAACCAGTATAATGCAACTTAATAGGGATTTTTCCATGTAAACCAGTATAATGCAACTTAATAGGGATTTTTCCATGTAAACCAGTATAATGCAACTTAATAGGGGTTTTTACATGTAAACCAGTATAATGCAACTTAATAGGGTTTTTTTCATGTAAACCAGTATAATGCAACTTAATAGGGATTTTTCCATGTAAACCAGTACAATGCAACTTAATAGGGATTTTTCCATGTAAACCAGTATAATGCAACTTAATAGGGTTTTTTTCATGTAAACCAGTATAATGCAACTTAATGGAGATTTTTCCATGTAAACCAGTATTATGCAACTTAATAGGGATTTTTCCATGTAAACCAGTATAATGCAACTTAATAGGGTTTTTTTCATGTAAACCAGTATAATGCAACTTAATAGGGTTTTTTTTTCATGTAAACCAGTATAATGCAACTTAATGGGGATTTTTCCATGTAAACCAGTATAATGCAACTTAATAGGGTTTTTTTTTTTACATGTAAACCAGTATAATGGAACTTAATAGGGGTTTTTCCATGTAAACCAGTACAATGCAACTTAATAGGGATTTTTCCATGTAAACCAGTATAATGCAACTTAATAGGGTTTTTTTCATGTAAACCAGTATAATGCAACTTAATAGGGTTTTTTTCATGTAAACCAGTATAATGCAACTTAATGTGGATTTTTCCATGTAAACCAGTATAATGCAACTTAATAGGGATTTTTCCATGTAAACCAGTATAATGCAACTTAATAGGGATTTTTCCATGTAAACCAGTATAATGCAACTTAATAGGGATTTTTCCATGTAAACCAGTATAATGCAACTTAATGGGGATTTTTCCATGTAAACCAGTATAATGCAACTTAATAGGGTTTTTTACATGTAAACCAGTATAATGCAACTTAATAGGGTTTTTTCCATGTAAACCAGTATAATGCAACTTAATAGGGATTTTTCCATGTAAACCAGTATAATGCAACTTAATAGGGTTTTTTTCATGTAAACCAGTATAATGCAACTTAATAGGGTTTTTTTCATGTAAACCAGTATAATGCAACTTAATGGGGATTTTTCCATGTAAACCAGTATAATGCAACTTAATATGGGTTTTTTACATGTAAACCAGTATAATGCAACTTAATAGGGTTTTTTTTTACATGTAAACCAGTATAATGGAACTTAATAGGGTTTTTTACATGTAAACCAGTATAATGGAACTTAATAGGGGTTTTTACATGTAAACCAGTATAATGGAACTTAATAGGGGTTTTTCCATGTAAACCAGTATAATGCAACTTAATAGGGTTTTTTTCATGTAAACCAGTATAATGCAACTTAATAGGGTTTTTTTCATGTAAACCAGTATAATGCAACTTAATGTGGATTTTTCCATGTAAACCAGTATAATGCAACTTAATAGGGATTTTTCCATGTAAACCAGTATAATGCAACTTAATAGGGATTTTTCCATGTAAACCAGTATAATGCAACTTAATAGGGATTTTTCCATGTAAACCAGTATAATGCAACTTAATGGGGATTTTTCCATGTAAACCAGTATAATGCAACTTAATAGGGGTTTTTACATGTAAACCAGTATAATGCAACTTAATAGGGTTTTTTCCATGTAAACCAGTATAATGCAACTTAATAGGGATTTTTCCATGTAAACCAGTATAATGCAACTTAATAGGGTTTTTTTCATGTAAACCAGTATAATGCCACTTAATAGGGTTTTTTTCATGTAAACCAGTATAATGCAACTTAATGGGGATTTTTCCATGTAAACCAGTATAATGCAACTTAATATGGGTTTTTACATGTAAACCAGTATAATGCAACTTAATAGGGTTTTTTTTACATGTAAACCAGTATAATGGAACTTAATAGGGTTTTTTACATGTAAACCAGTATAATGGAACTTAATAGGGGTTTTTACATGTAAACCAGTATAATGGAACTTAATAGGGTTTTTACATGTAAACCAGTATAATGCAACTTAATAGGGATTTTTCCATGTAAACCAGTATAATGCAACTTAATAGGGTTTTTTACATGTAAACCAGTATAATGCAACTTAATGGGGATTTTTCCATGTAAACCAGTATAATGCAACTTAATAGGGGTTTTTACATGTAAACCAGTATAAAGGATAACAGTTTAAAGGATATCAGGAGCTTCAAATACTTCAGGAGTTTCAAAGGATTTTTCAGCTAAATTCCACATTAGATCTGTTCCGCAGTCAATCGCAATGGCTTCAGCCATTGCAAGTTTCTAGTTATTATCATCATTATTATTAGAGAAGAAATAAAGAAGTGAACATCTAGACATCGGATGTTCATTAATATGTAACTTTTTTAGTGTTTGGTGTCAAAACTGCTGTTGTACTGGGCTTGTGCTTGTAGCATATACTGTAGTTTGGTGAATTTTCAGATTTTCTAACTCTGCTGCTGCCTCTCACACAGCCGCCTTCTGCACTTGAGAATGCACTGTCAAAGCAGTATCGTGCAGCAGCTGAGTTTGCAACATACAATACAAGAAGAGTTAGATTTACATCTTTGACCGCCCCATAGCCCTGAAATAACAGAGTTGCGCCCTGAAAATCCTGAAAACTCCACTGCAATGAGCACGCAGCTGGCGGTGCAGCGTCATGCAGTTTCATGCAGGCCTCACCATTTGAGAAGAACTGCTCTAATGGAAGGGGTGGGAATAAATCAGATGTTCTTTTAGGAAAATAATCAGAAATGTAACATTTGATGAATCGACAACATTGATTTATAGCCCAGCCCTTTTTGAAAATAGGCTCTGCGCATACGTCTATTCTTAATTTGGTTATTTTAGTGGGGATTAACTTTTTCTCTTTATAATTAATAACATTGATGAAAGGTCTAATTGTGATGAATATTTAATGTGGAGGGAACATTAGCCTGTTCAATTTACATCAACACAAAGGCGACGGGCAATCCAACTCTGCAAACAGAACACAGCGTCCTTCATGGCTACAGCTGACAATAGCCCAGGATCATCTTCAACAAACACCTGTATATTTCCCATTATATAGACGTCCTTCCTGATTAAAAGCAGTATCCACCTTGTAGATCCTCATCCATTTTACACATGGTCGAATACATAATCTGTTTAAACAAAATCATCTTTGTGTGGGTCTTTAGAATGTGTTTCTTTGGTTGTCAAAGTTGTCTTTCCTTGAAAACAGGAATAGACAAATTATGTTATACAGTAGTTGATTCATGTTCTGGCTCATTAATGTTTATGAAAAGATAATCGTTTCTTTTATAATAATTAAATAATATATTTTATAATGGTAGTAAACATTTAATAGTTGAAAAAGAAACTGGAAATGGATGTCATGTGGGCATAGCATTAATTGACACAGACCCTGGATAACACTGCACACAACCAGGTGAGCTTATGAGCAATAACTAAATGAAAAGCTAAGCATAACAAAACATGAAATTGTAAAATCAAAGGAAAGTACATGGCAAAATAGTTCCTAAACAGTGGGAGGGAGCTGTATAAAGACAGCTCAGCGCTCTGTATTTCATGGCCCTGTGCAGAGAGAGGCCCATATTTCTCCTGGTATTATCAGGATGACTCCTGTGGCCACCCTGTCACAGAAGAGTGCTTGATATAAACAGAGATTGCTGCGACACCCGGTAATCAATATTAGGATGGTTTCAGTACCAAACATCATTTGTCTCTGCGACCATTCCTTTGACCAAACGAAGCATTAATTCAAATCATAAATCTGAGCTGATTTAAATCCGTGCAGAGTGAGGGAGAGGGAGAGGCCCCTGTCTGACTGGCTGCCCCTAATGATTTATTTTCTACATTTCTGCGAGCGAGAGATTTGTCCATACTCACTGACAGGTCACCTTCAAACGCCAGTGGCAGACTGTTCATCACCATGCAGACGAGCATCTCATCGCTGCGAGTAAATATTAAAGGAAAAGAATCCAATTGATTGTGGATGGGTCGAGAGGCGTCACTGCCATATATTTCACTCAAAGAGCTAATGCTGCGCCCAGGCACCCGCACCTAGCTCCCCCTTTGCAGAATTATGATTCTACCGGGAGCCTGTGTGGCTGCACTGGACTCAAGGTTACAATTTAAATTGTAAAAAGATAAAACAGTTTCTTATTAGCTCCATTGCCGTAGCCTTGCAGTTCCCACTCACATTTATCTTTATTTCTGTGACCTCGTCAGCTCATATTCTCTTTCTTTCTCACTGCATTCTCAGAGAGATGACCTCACACTTTATGCATTTTGCATTGTTAAAAGTGTATTGAAATACATCCTGTTTGCCGCTCAGATGTTGAACACTCACTGGTGTCAAGTGTTACTATTTGAGTCCAACCATTTATTATAGTAAGTGAATCAAAACCTCCGTTTAGCAGCCAGAAAAGGTTTGCATTTAGTTTGAAAATGTGAATAGCCTCATGAATCTGTGCTAACATACATTATCACTGGCTTTAATACTCTAAATGGGTTTGCCTGATATTACTAAAACCCTTCTGCTTTTTAGCTCTAATAATTAATTGTAATGGCACATAGTGAATAAGCAATGCTCTCACAGCAATTCAATTAGGGCTTGTTAATAGCTGAAAGCTTTGGGAAATGTGTTCGCAGTTTCTCTGGGCTATTAAGAAAGTTCACATACAAAATGATACCACTTTAAGAGAAATCGAGACCTACTTTAGCAAAGTGTCCTCACAGTGGAACTAAACTAAGTCAACTTCCCTTTAAAAAAGTAAAAGTTTGAAATTAGTTTGATGATCTTTTGTACACTTCTGTAACGCTGGTCCATCAGCCCTTGATTGTGTCTTACCAACACTGGAGCTGAGGTCTCCGTTCTCCCCGTCTGGGCCGTGGTGGTTGGTGTTGCTGTGGTAGCCGCTCATGGCCTCCAGCTTGATCTTCTTGACCTTCATGGCCTCTGCGATGGCTGCGTTGGCAGCTGCTGCCGCTGCTGCTGTCAAGCCTAGAGAGAAGTGGCAGAGGAAACTGTGTCTACTGGGATCACATACACCTGCAACACTTTCAAGACACTGCCCTTGGAAACTAAAAAGAAAAAAATAATAATCTTAAAGAGAAGGCTACAAGGAAAAGATGGCCACCATCACAGCTTGGCTTTTTCTCACATGACAGAGGAGATCTTCACAGCAGGCTGTCATAGAGATGGATCCCTGAGTATGTGGCAGCATAAGATTTCTTATGAATGTTTAACAGGGACAAAATCTCTGTTCTCGCAGTCAACTTTTGTTATTGAGTTTGAGTTTGTTACTCTCACAGAAATAACGTGTTACAGAAAATTCAACAATACGCTGCCCATTATTAATGAATATTGACACAACATTTTAAAAACACCCGTAGTAAAAGTGGGTTCTGTGAAAACATGATTGTATTTGTCATGACCACCTTGATCAGAATAGACTCGGCTTTATTGATATAGAAAGCCTGAGATTACAGGTACAGTACATATGCTCAGCACACAGCAGAGATCATAAAGCATTGGTTTGTCATTGGGGCAGTTGTGGAGTATTGAACGTGACTGAAATCTTTATTCATGAGCTTGTTCTCAAACAGCAGGGACAGATAGTGCTAAAGCTCCTCTAGGCCCGTGTCTCAGGAGACATACCTGACTGTTCTGCCAAGCAACAAAATCAAAGAAAGCACACAGGAAACAAAGACATGCGGCTATTAGTGAAATCACTCCGATCCACAATACAGAATATCCACTGGAACCAGACTCCATATATTTGATATGCAGGTTTTGCTTATGTTTGACGCAGAACAAGGAGATGTCTGCGTTTATCATCACTAAGCTGTCACGACTGCGTGATAGGACTCAAGAGCAGCTATTAGCCATGCATTTGAGAAAGACACGGGTACACGCAGAAGCAGAGACTGAACATGTGGCTCTAGCACTTGCACACACAAGTACACACAGAGAAACAGCGCGGCCTGGGCACCCTCGCCTCTCCTCACAGCTGATAGGCAGATGGCGAGAGTCACTCTGAGCCTCTGACATGGAGGTGCATATAATTTAAAGCCTTGTTTGCATCTTAAAATACATCAGTACCATATTGACGTACAGTATACATCATGTCAGAGGGCTCTCTCGTTTGCAGTGGCCCAGGCTGCTGTTCCATATGCATAGGCCAGCCCGAAAAAAAAGTCACTGCCTCGTAAGAAGGTGATACTTCTTCAGATAATGAATGTGGCCTCTGCCCGGTCTGAAGGTCAGCCTTCATTTGTGTATAATGGGCAAGAGTCAACTGTTTTCCAAATGAGACGTATGCAGAGCAGACTGCCGAGTAAATATTGAAATCACCTCTGGGCTGTTTGTGTGATAAATTCCCTCCACAAATCAGGTGCAGCTCAAAGTAGACGCACTGCCGGCTCGGGGACACTAACTTTGGTTGTGGCTATAGTGGTTTATGAGGCTGTGTAGGGTGTGTTTTGTTTTTCTCTTTCACAGCCTTCCATAACAATCAACAGAAAATCTTTACATATAACTATTTTACTACAAAACATAACTATTTAAGATATGACAACGCAGTGGGTACTCAAGCCATGTTTCTATTCTCCATCAATGTAAACATATATGAGTTTTTTTACTCAGGTCAAACAAACAAATCTCATTTCACATGATTAATCATTTCTGTCTGCTGTCTCTTTCTTTATGAATGAAGTTTCATTATCTTGTAATTCTAGTTGTATTAGATAAGCTGTCATAGCTCCAGTACACATGCCTCCTTTCAGTAAATGTAAAAGGATAAGTGTAGGACCCCAGCAACAAGTCTATCAAGCTACGAGAAATATAAACGTCAACAAAAGCAATCCCACTCTCTGCTAATCTGCATTCATTATGCAAACAAAACAATCCTGTCTCATATATTCAAAGTCACCTTTAGATTCTCGCAATTGTGCTATAGACAAGCAGAAAGTCCAAATCCTCAGAGCACACAGCAAACAGCCCTCCTCAGCCCCTCACAGAGCCACACCAGTCCACCAGCAGAAACAGGGAAGATTCTACAAATAGAGTAGCATGGCAGTGTCACATGGGGAGCACCAAACAGCAAATAACAGAGACAAGGTCTGATGGTAGCCCTTGGAGCAGCTGTCATATTAAATAATAATGAAGGATCTATTAATATGCAAAGGAAGCAGCAGCCGACTGGCTTAACGCTGTCATGCCTCTGCATATTGTCAGGATCTTCATCATTAATTAACATGCGAGCTGCCCCATACCTGCGCCAATGTCAGAACATTCTTACAACAAACACCCCAATGCCTGTGCCCTCTGCAACTAACTCATATAATTTAATTAAAATCATATTACCTCCACATCAGTACCCCGAAGACTGACTTTTACCATTTGCTTTTAGCAGTGAGCAGATAAATGCATGTATTGTACATGCTTGGTTTTGTTTCGTGTGAACCATAGATAAAAATAAAAGATTAAAAAGAGCAACAGTGCAAGAAAAAGTTAGCGGGATGGTTGTCTAATCATATATGCGTGGAGCAGTAGCAGCGCGGCAATGACAAACTGGGGTTAGGGACGAGACAAGTCTTAGGTACACTGCACCACTTGAACTATGCTTTCCACATCACGACAAATTTAGTATCAATTACATAGCGCACTAACCTTATGATAAGCGGCAGACTCAAGAAGGAGGGGAGATGGCGCAAGGAGATGACACTAAATTACCAAGTGCAAACTGGGTCTATTTTAAAGCAGCTTCAAGTGGCACTAGATTAGACTAACCTCTCCAGCTGCTGAAATGCTAATTGTACATAAAATATAATACTGTAAATACACCAATAAGCACTGCCACGAGTATGTTCTTATGTCTGGCAGTTAAATATTCTCTGAGTGTTAAAGTAAGGAATACACTCAGTGAGATGCAGGTGACATTCATTTATCTAATGGTGAGTGCCGCAGTCCTGAGTAATTCAAAAGGTTGAAGCCATATCCAGGACCAGAACATAAATGAATTATTCTGAAGCTGCTTCTTAAGTAGTGGCCGGAGTGTGAGCGAAGGCCCTCTCCACTTTAAAGGAGATGTCATCTCAGTGTGGTGTCAGTCCACAGCAAATAATCCGATTTGGGGCCAATCTGCCTGTAATGCATCAGCAACTGGAAAGGCTCCAGCTCAGCCCCCTGGGGTGGCCACGCAGGCACGAACACTTCCAGACACACATGTGCTTTCACACACATATGAGGGTATTTGCTTAAATGGGAACCTAAGCATATTAAGATGTCCTTTTATAAATGGAACTGGTGTCAAGGGCAAAGATACATATGTTAACAATGTGTTTCACGTAGTTTTCTCTGGTCCTGTTAGACTGTGAGGATCTCATCTTTTTAGCCCACTGAATACTCTTGTCAATTTGATCTAATATGACATGTCTTAAGCCTTACAGTGCTGCTCACTGGTCACTGTATTGGAGCATGGAGAATTGAGGGACCATTTCCTAAAACAGTCATTTGCATGAACAATGCTGCAATATTTTTCTTCTGCCTTAAAGGCTATGAACTAGATCACTGAGCTGAAGTTGCGGCAAATGATAAAAGTAGACTTTCTGCCATTTCATATAATATCCTGAATATGAACACCTTATTGAACAAAATACTTCATGCTCACTTTTGTGTTGTCAATTAAACAAATAGTGCTACACTTGGGGAAGGGTAGAGCCCGGGGAGGAGCCCAGGGTTCCTATTCTGTCTGTATCTGTTGGAGTGCAAGCACCAACTCATCTGAGGAGTGAACTAATGTGACATGACATGATAGTGCATCTATCCAAGTCACTTTCTTTATGTCACATTTTAATCATCAATCAGTACATTTGGTTTGTGATAGCAAGATCAATTAGCCGGCTGCTTAGATGCTAACTTATGTGTGGTCAATTACATGTAATTATTAATCCGTCAAGTTTAGTAACGCGCTTGATATTTCATGTGAAATACCATGGTATAGAGAAGATTAACGAATCACGAAAGTGGACAGATCTGACGGACATTATAACAGTTATGCACCAAAAAACACTACTAAAAACCACATTACTTTATCTGCGGCCCCTGAAAACCCAGACTAAATGTCAAGATCATAGAGTCCCTCTGGGCTTAAAGGGGCTGATATCAAAAGGCCTTTCTGTTGCTTTATGTTCCACTAAATAACATGGCTCTTTCTCATCATTGTCCTTCTGTGCTGAGGCCGGCCTTTATGTCTGCTTCTATAGCCCACTGCAGCACAGACAGGCTGACCTCACTTTTACACACTTCAAAGCACTGCACCATGTCAATCTCTGCTGTGTTCAAATATAAGGAGTACACATTAGATTCCGACAAATCACAGTGATGTAGATATTGTATTTCTTTCAAGTTGACAATGGATATATGCAATCAAGATAATAAAAAATGGCATACGTGGTTTGGAACCATTTCAGACATGGTCAGTGGAAGTTCAGCAGTATAACTCTTAATCATGTGTTCATTTATTTTGATTTACAACTAAGAACTGGTCAAGTATTAAAAGTATGTTTTTGAAGATAACGTATCATTAAGATATGTCAAGAGGAATAAGCTAAACATGCAAATGAGCGCACTTCGAGCCACCAACATCAAAGCGACCACGACGTTGCATGCCACAAATAGAACAAAAGCATTCGCTGCAATAAGACTGAGCCCTGGGCTAAGTTCGGGCACAAACGGGTGTTGTTGATTCTTGTGGCGATAGGCCTGCTTTAGCATCACCACTGCTTATGTACATACAGCAGCCGAGTGGATTTAATCGTGCTAATTAGAATACACTCAAGGCCAAATGCAACATCTACCGGAATAATCTGAGAGAAAGATCTCCACTCCAATTTATTCAACCCACCCACCCCTCCTTCTATTTTATTTGTTTCCAGGGGTTTTGGGAGCAAATGGCTGGTGTCTGGTCTGGTTGTCGGGTGGGTGCGTGTGTCGCTTTGAACTGGTTAACATTTGGAAGATGAGCAGTAGGGAACCCGCAAAAGTGTGCATTTTGTGACAAGTGTAAAAATTGCATACCTGTGGGTGGCATCATACCGGGGGACATCAGACCTGGGACAGAATGTGGCATGATGTGGGGGTTCTCAGGCGATGTCACACTTTGAGTCCTTTTGGGAGGCCGCCCTGGTCTGGAGCTGTAACATAGACACAAGAGACAAGGCCGCGGTTATGCGTGTGTGTGTGTGAGGCGAGGAAATACAGCACATGTGGAGGTGAGTGAGAAAGGGTGCAAAGGGAAATAAAATGGGTGGTGGTGGTGGTGGTGGGCATTTTAGAGCCCCCAGAATGCAATCCCATCCCAAACGAGCTAACATGTACTGTAAATACGTTTTGTTTCAAGGACAGTTGCTTTCTGTAGCTCGACATAATAGAGTTCCATAACTAATTAGATTACACGGTGAATTCATTTCCTTTATTGAAGATCAACCACTTTTTGATGCATAATTCATAGCCTGCACCTCGTTACCTGTTCCTCCGTATTAATATCCCTGCACTATTTGAATTGCCTCGTTTGCATATGCTAAAAACCCAATGCGTGGCCCCTCAGCCTGGAAATTACATGTTAACTTGTTATAATTATTGCAGTCAGGCCACTATTGATTTATGAGACTTTTAAAAACCAAATATGTGTAGTTCTGGTAATGAATGATATTTTAAGGTTCTTCAGGAAATTAAAAGGCAATGGCTGCCTTAGGAAATGTTCTGCTTGCTTGATTTAATGCGCGCCTTAGCTGGAAGGTGGTGTGACAGAGTGATTCAGACCTGTTGGACGGTCCTGATGGGGGAGTTTTATTACACCAAACGAGGGGCACACATCCAGCCGTGATAAATGAGAGTGCCACGTCCATGTGGAGCAGAAAAGGCCTTCAAAGCAGATACCACCACAGCACGTGCATGCATCTTACTCATTCACTTATTAATACAGCTTCAAGTTACAATCAATAGCCACTTTGGAAGCTCATAGTTACAGAGATAAGCCTGGTGGCAAAGAAAATGCAATGAGCAACTAATGAGGGTCCAGGATCGTACCAAGGTGTATTCTCTAAAAAGGAGCAGGATGTCGAGCCAGAAGATGAATTATTGTGACTTGACACATTGGCTTCATACATTATTTCATACAATAGTCCATTTAAAGCTTTAACAGGATACCAAAGACACTCCAATATGGGCAGACGTTCATTTATCTTCAAAACGTCAAAACTCGGCTCTTCTTTATTTCCTTTCAGCTTTTGCCTCCAGGGGTTGCCATGTGAAGTCCTGCTTTATTCAACATTGATTTGCATATTCATTTGGCACCAGTTTTTATGACAGATTCCCTAACACAACTACATTCAACCAAGCTTTGGATTCAACCCTAACACTCTGAGTATAAGAACCACTTAGTCTGATGACAGTTTTACGCACAGACGTTAAATTAGATAAGTCACTGTTTAGTCATTATAAGTCATAAATAAGTCACGAGTAAGTAATAATTACATAATAGAACCATGTCCATAATTATTATCATCTAAATCAACAAAAACAACAATCTAGCCACATGGGGTCATCAGTTAGTAATGCACTTGTTTTGGTCCCATAGATAAAGGGGATTTCCTATGACAATTAATAAATAGATAAATCACTTTGCATATGTCCCACCTTGATTATTGACACAATATTCACAAAAATAACTTTAAAATTGTATATAATGATAGAATAAAACAGTGGACAAAGGTACTTCTGATGCTGCTTGATGATCTGATCTTTCTCATTTGGATTTTATCAGCCAGTACATTACATGTGGTTGTTTGTGTTACACTACATTTCCCTGCATTTCCCAAAGGCAGCGTGCACACGGAGAAGCTCCGATCCCACACTCTCTTGTAGTGGTCTATGCAGTGGTTTATTCACCTCACTTGTGCTAATAGAGTGCAAGGGCTGTATCTGTCTGACTCCCTCATATACACGCTCACTAGATTTTAGGACTAAAAGATAGCTTTAACTTAAGTACGTCCCACTGGAGGACATATGCAGTAATAGAAGGAGAGAGGGAGAAGGAGGGAAAGAGAAAGGTCTGTAAATGTAATTCCTATTTCTATAGAAACACCTCTTTGATCTTTGGAGAGGGGGAGATTGCAGACAGTTTTGCTGTCATCACTTTCACTTGTACTCTGACTGAATAATTTATGAAAGACCTCAATACAGCCTATGAGATGGGTAAAGGTCTTTTTTACTAACAATACGAAAAGCAAAAAGGCTCTCAAACGGACAAAAATGTCACATCAACCTCAGATGATGTCAGGGGATGTGAACCCAGGTACAAAGCCTCAGTTAAGTAAAGGTAATGTTTAGACAGACTGCTGGAGAATGTGTGTGTGTGTGTGTTTGGAGGGATAGCGTTTCACCTTCCTCCAGCACACACATAACACTCGCCATGAAAGCAATACAGCATCTGAAAGAGCTCTTTGAACTCTTCACAAAAACTCACTCGCTTCTATGTTGTTGTCTCCTTCACTTATGACCAAGTAGCTACAACGATCCACTCTCAAAAACACACTCTCTTATTTGGTATGAGGAATGATAGCTTTTTATTTCACCAAACTGCAAATAACAACATGTCATTTGGCGGCAGGAGCTGCCCTGCACATTACAGCAGATGAGCTCTGGTCAGAGCCACACAGGGCTAATAAGACGGGGCCAGGGAGGAACTCAACCTGGCCTCAAACAAAAGCACCAGGCTATTTATCACGCAGCAGATGCTGATTCCCCAAATAGCCTGGCACAGAAACCACTGAAAACTAGGCCAATATTGAAGAGGAAAAAAGGAGATGGGACTACTGGATTTATGATTGGAATTTGGGGAGTTATCATGAATCTCATTTACAGTATTTAATTTAAAATTAAATAGGGGGCCCATATCTCTGGCTTCAATTAAGAAAACAAAATGTGCCCCTCCATGCAGCTTTGGAGCAGGGGCCAACAAATATGTTACACATTCTATTCTTTCAGTTTTTTTTTGTTTTGCTGCCATGGTGAAAAGAAAATAGTGGTGAACTTTCCCTGAACCAGGCTTCCTTTAATGGGCCCGGCCGCGTGTTGACCCAGTGGAGTCCGGCCTGCAACATGATCCTATCCAACACACCGGGCAATCAGATTACACGCCGGCACCCACAATACACTCCACACCCGCCGAATTTCAATAAAAGTCCAATAATTAAATTCTCGTTCGCACCCCCGGTTTACAGGAAGGAGATCATAATAACATCTAGATATAGTTTTGATTTCATGGCGGAATTATGACATATTTCGGCCATCAGTCGCCCGTCTTTTTCTGTCAACGGAAGCAGCCGCCGAGATCTTATTACCCTGAACGCCGTTAATGCAGTGATTATGATCTGTTATAAATCAATTGAAACCACAAATGTAATGTTTAGCCCATGCATGCACGCTTTCCTCAGTGTATTTAGTTACACACAGCTGCTCCTCCCATCCTCACATATCTCCCCTTCGAATTTTCCAACCTGATTATGTCAATAAGCGAGTAGAGTTTGCACAGAAAGGACATAATATTATTTCCTGCTGGATTCTGATTGAGCCATTAACCTTTTATCTCTGCCTTTTGTTTGATGTTTCTAAAAGGTAAGGTGGGAAGATATTTATTCCATTTCCGCACAGTCGGCCAAAACAAGCGAGTGAATCATTCCGGCGTCGGGCTTATGTAAACAAAAAGCTTCTCCAGGTCTCTGCCAATCAGGTCTTATAAAATATTAACCCAATGTCATTGCCCTTTTAAATTCTCTCACCTAGAATTCCCTAATTGTTCCTTTTTCTTTATCTCTCCAGTGCAGAGAGTAAATAAATTAACAAAATAGCTTTTATCGCCCTGAGTAACCTTTTAACTGAGGGATTATCTGGGGTTTATTTTTCATTTCTCTTGCCGCGATAGCAGAGCATGCCCCATTGATTGGTTTGCTGGGGTGGTGACCAGCCATGAAAACAAGGTCTTATTGATAAAACAAAGCAGCACATTACCTTCTAAGAGCTGGGTCAGTCAGGAACGCACAGGCCCCAGACCCCAAGGAGCCGCGCAGAATTTAGAGTTTCAGTCAAATCAAATGTTCAACCCATACACGATTATCCACAGTGTAATGAACAGGGGAAAAGGATATTTGAACATCTTGATTAGAGGTCAACAAACATTTTGGTCTGTAAAATACTGAAATACAGGTGAAACATGGAATACATTTTTTTTCTCTAATTCGACTTTAAATGTGAAATCAATATATGATTAGGGGCATTAAAAACATTTAGATTAATGTGATACAATATTGATTTTTTATTGATTTATATATTTTTTTTATTTCTTTCCACCGTTTTTTTTTTCTTTTCACCTCTACTTAAAAATAATTCATGATTTTTTCTGAATAATACAGTCTACAAAAATATACAAAAATCTATTTGCCCATTTGCAGAAAAAACACATGCAAAAACTGTGCAAGACTATACTCAGTGTAGCCTGGCCGTACCACACCATAGTACAAATGACATTTCGTGCTAAGGTCTGGAGGTGCTTCATTGAGCTCCGTTTACAGGTGGGAGGGATTAACTCCTTTTGCAGAGTGAAACGATTGGATCTGAGTTTACCGTGACGTATGTAGTGCGCCCGAGTCTGTTGTTAGCATTTAGCATTTAGCCTAGCCATCTCCTTTGCCGCTAACGGAGCCCGTGGGGAGTAGCGCCACAATTTTTTCTAGCGATTACATTTGCTAAACATTACCCTTGCTCCTGCTTCAATTTCTTGATAGAACCAGACCGGATTACTTTACTATTGCATTTTTCGCCATTGCCAAACTATGACTTCCCGTTCGACACAAACTCTTGACATCACCCAAAACTAACTACAACATCCACCTCCCACGCTCGCTGATTTGTCGGTCGAAATTCAACCGATTGTAATCGCTAACACAGGGACTAGACCCAGACGTTACATGCAGTGAAATGATGATTGAGTGTACGGATGGCTAAGGCCAGGCTATACTCAGTGTGTGAGACAGGCCTCCTCTCTGACAATGTTTAAAACCAAGTTAAAAACGGTGCTGTTTAGCTGTGCATACAACTGAGGGATTTTATATTTTTATCTTTCGTTTTAATGTTC